CTTCACAAATATATTATTTTAAAACAATAAAAAAAAGATTAAAGGTGCTTTAACCTGACGACATTGGCATTAAAAGGAAACTGTAAACCACAGGAGTGCTTTGCTCAAAATGATGCTTGCAGATGGAATATCTATTGAACTGGGGGGCTGAAGGCAGGCCCCACTCGTACCCCATCATCCCGAACTCATCTTCTAACAAAGGGAAGAGGAAGCACGCCAGGACATGGCATTTCTGCAACTGCTCGCTGTGGGCCCATGCCAGGAAAACGGCGATGCCTTAGGCCAGGGGGCTGCCCAGTCATGGCTGGGCATCATGTGTACATTTTATCTTTGCTTTCAATTTGCTTAGGTTCCTGAAGAAGTCAGTGCTGGTTTAGAGACTTTGACAACTTTATTTTATTCTCATGCATTTTACCTAGCTTTTCCCAAGTCTATGTGGTTGTGTGGCTATGACCTCAGAAAGTTCCAATCTTTTAGGGTACTCATTAGACCAAACCAAGAAAAACACAAAGAAAACCATTATATAAAGTCAGCAGAACTCACACCACCACCAACCCCCATACACTTATGTTGCTTAATTAGGCCATCTAATTTAATATATTTAAGCATAAATGTAAGATTTCTAGATGTCTGACTCATAAAGTTGTTTCAGTGAGAAATCTCAATTCTTTGTGAAGGACAATAATGAACAGAAACGGCCTATGAAAAGTGGGTTCCTGGCATGGGTCCATGGTGAGAGTCTGATTATGTCGCAGGATGGTACTGGATAACTGATGTCTCTTATAGTGAAGTGAAATGTTCATCAAGTGAAAGGAAGTGTCTTGTCTTTGGCCACTTTGGTCATGAATTTGAAATAACCGAGACCCCTTCCCTACCAGTTTCCCTTTAGCTTTGATTTGGATTTGATGCTCAGAACCTATACCTGGGATTGGATTTAAAAATCACAGGATTATAAAATATACTTGTTATGGCGAATCAGGTGAACCTTGTGGAACCAATGTTTTTGACACTGAAGCCAAAAATAGTGAGTTACATTAAAACATGTATATTTTCTGTACATGGTTAAGTGTGAAAGGCCTCACATCTGAGGACAGTTATGGCAAGTAAGTTCACCTGTGCTGGAACTGGTCCTCTGCTTGCAGCCTAAGCAAAGCAGTTCAGGCTGGCAGGGATGATGGACCTCCATGGCATCCTATAGTCTAAATATAGGAACTGCTGTACTTGGGTGAGGAGAAAATACAGTCCTATGAAGCATGGCTCTGGGCACCATGCCCTCTGCTTTTGCTTCCAACAGCCTGGCATTTCTTAAGAGCAGGCAGGCAAATTGATTTCTACCAAGTCAAATCATTTATGCAAAGAAAATCCCCACATAAGAGGGTATTTTGCTTCCCCTCCCTTCTGTGTTTAAATGTTAACAAAAGCATGGATTCAGGAGCTGCCGAAGACTGCCAGGATGGTCCCGTTTCCTGGGGTCTCAGTAACCACTGATTCCAGTTCCCTCTCAGCCCCCAAGGTTCTAAGTCCAGGGCCTTTAGACATTTAAGCTCCCAATGGGGGGAATTTTTTGTTTGTTTGTTTGTTTCATAAAGATTGTTCAGGCAACTCAGAAGACCTCAAGGTTGTATGATTTTGACAAGTTACATGAAGAAAATTAATGAGTTTGTACTCCTACACAACTTCATTCTTCATTTGCAGAGTTTTGCTGCTCTAATGTGGGAACTGGGATTTCTTTTTATGGCCACCTCACACTTCCCTATGTTACCCAGAACATTGACATTTCCCACTGACATCTGTCCTTATGCTTCAGAATAAGGTATAAGCTCCTGTGAGCAGATAAATTGCCTGGATCAGGGGTCAGCAAACTGCGGCTCGCGAGCCACATGCGGCTCTGTGTGTATGTACATGTGGCTCTGAAGTGAAAATGAAAATAAAACTATCATAGTTTCATTTATAAAATTTTTAAAGGATATTATTCACATAATGATTTCGTTTTATGGCTCTCGAATAATTTTTAAATTGTGAGGGACAGGATTGGCTCTTCCGTCTCAAAAATTTGCTGACCCCTGGCCTAGATGGTTAGAGGTTTTGCATGGGTGTTTTCAGAGCACACGGGAGTCAAGTAGAGTTTCTGTTGTCTGCTTTGATGGTTGAAATCTGGTTTCTCAGTATGTCATGTTCGAATCTGCTTTGGATAGCATCTAGAATGTGCTTATTCTGATACTAAAGGTGTTCTTGACAAATCGGAGCAAGGTGTGATGTTTGGCTTTTTAGGAAGGGTGCTGCTTTTGGGGAACTGTAGAGTAGAGCTGATGTTTTATTTAACACAGCGGTACTTTGGGGTCTGTATATCTAGGTCGACTGGCTTATTTTGAACTTAAGGCTTCATATTTGCTACCCTCTTTTCTGAAGCTATGGGAAAACTTGTTAACATTACACAACTTAAATACTACTTGTAGATATTCACTGATAAGAGGAATGTGAAAGAAATAATAGAAAATGGCATAGAACAGTGGAATGGAAAATATTGACTATGTCCAGGGGTTTAAGGTACAGTGGTCATTGTTAGGGTTTTAACATTTTTTGGAGGTAGGTTACCTTATGAGCTTACTCAGCCAAGTAAACGGGCTGCTTCCCTCAACACACCTCCTCACACTGATCATCCTGTCCTGGGAATCTCCCTCCCCCGTGGACAGTGCCACTCATCAAACACATCTGCTGCCTAATTGTCCTGTCTCCCACTAGGCCGTCTTTGTATTCTAAGCTGCATCTGCCCTGGTACTGCTCACGCAGTGGGTGTGCAGTTGGCCTCGGTGAATGGATGCGGCAGAGTTCCCTATGAGCTGGGGGGGGGGGGGGGGGGGGAGGCTCGCAAGCACCTGAGGAGAAACTCTTTGGTCTAGGCCGATTATGACACTATCCGATAAAAGCTGCTGATAAAAGGCTTTTCTGTTTTGGTCAAGTAAGGATTAAGAAACTGAATATGAGAAAAGGAAATACTAACCAGAAGTAAACAAAACAACCAGAAAAACTAGCGCTCTGCATGGTTCCTTGCAACTGACCATGGCTGATGTTCAAGGAAAGCTTCTGAAGGAATCCAATGAGGGAAACATATTACAGAATTCTGCTATCCAAGGTCATTACTATCACTTAGGACATTTTATTACTTTGTAGAACACTCATGCCTGCCGGCCTCCATGGTAATGTTTGGGAAGGTGACTTAGAAATTCAAGACTTGAATCTTTTTAGAGTGAGTCCTAAATATTCTTGTTTTGGGGCTCTTAAGAAGTATGCTGTCAAGGAGGGATGCTAAGTCTATCTTCCTAGTCAAGCACAGACACCTGCAAGATGTCTTTTCTTTAATCAGATAAAAAGCAGGAGCTTTCACAGCCATTCTCCTCCAGTGCTGGCTGCCCGCACAGAGGCGTGCCGTCACCCCGGGCTCAGCGAATGCACTGAACCATCGCCATGTCTTCAGCCTGAGCAAAGGTAATTGCCATTCAACAGTTGCTACCTCCTGAGATTATGGGGGTCACAAAGAAAATCAAATCAATATCCAATTCAGTGCCCTTTAAGAAATGTGCAGTCTTGAGAGGCATGTAATATTGAATAACACACAGCAGGAAGTGCCTCAAAACGTGCTTTGGAGGATTCGTGTTTCCTTACTGACGCTGCGTTGATGTGTTGGGAGGTTAGCCTTTGAGTCACTTTGTGTTGGTACTTCCTTATTGCCCTTCATGTCCTTCAGTCTTCCTGTTTCAAGGTCTCTTTCCCTACCTTCTGTGTCTATCCTCAGCCAGGCTGCACTATAACTGGCTTTAGGAAATTGCTAAGATTCCTTTCCCTCCAGTGTTACCAGCATAAAGACATGGAGCATTGCTCTATAATTGGTATTTTCCTACCTCCCTGCTGAATTCCATGTTTCCCCAGCATAGAGCTCATCACAGTAAGGTCGTTCTGGGGGTAACTCTAGGAGCCAATTAGTTAACATCAGTCAGAAGGTGAAATAGGGCCCATCTAAGTATGCTCTCATTTAGGAGACTGGCCCAGGGTAAGCCCCGCTGCAACCAAAGACTTCCAGTAAGGTCTGAATCATCAGTGATGTGAGTTTAAGACCTATTGAATGTAACTAATGCAAATGGAAAGATACTTTGGGTAGTCTCTTTTACATTTGAAGACATGACCAAATCCTCTGGTTGTCAGGACAATGAGTATAAATGTCACCCAGTGCGGCGTCACATCTGAGCTAGGGGTACAATGCTGCTCTAAATGCAGGGAGAGAGGTGTTTGGTTTGCTCATAATAAGGCCCACACACTGGCAGGTGAGTTTTTAATTTTCTGTAGGAGAGGGTCTGGCTTGGCGGCACTGTTCTCCTCAGGCTTTCTACTGACATTGTCCAAGTCTTTGTTCCACTGTCTGTGGAGGCTGCATCGTCTTGCCTTAGAATAAGGTTCTTTCCTCTTTGCCTTTGTAGCGGCTCACCTTGGCTCCTTATTAACAGATATACTGAAGCCTGTGCTCATTACTTCTCTGCGGTTTAAAGTGACTCGGAATTCAGAGCAGCAGGGCTTTTCTACCACTCGAGGATCTCAGTCCTTATTAGGCAGCTAAGTGCGTCTTGGTGGCTCTACTTAACAAGTTAGAATTTACTCTTTGAATCAGTATGAGGCAGTAGGACGGTTTTCAAGGGGTAATAAATATTTCCTTAAATTGAATTATGACTAAGATACTTAGTGCTATAACATGGAAGGTATATAATCTATTTTTTAAAGGAGAATTTTGGGGACTCTAAGAGTACCAATACCTCCTTCAAGTAGGTAATCTTGGTACATGAGCTTTTGTTTTTTGGGGTTTTTTTTTGCAAAAATGAATATGCAGTTCTGGATTCTTCCAAATACTATACTATTCAGGCTTGATATGAAATTCATCATAACAGAAAAATAAATAAAATTAAAATATTTAATAAAAATATTCTGGTATGTATTAGCAAATCAGTTAGTAATAAAAGAGGTAACACTTTATTTTCATGGTAAACTTATGTACTAACTTAATAGTATAATGGAAAAGTAATATAAACTCATTTTCATATAAAAATCTTTGTTCCATTTAATTAACATATTAATACATAAAGAAAAGTGTCTTTTTCAACTGTCTGCCCCTTTGTTGCTCTTTTTATTTTGCATTCTCTGTTTGGTGTGAGGGCTCTGATCGCCTAAATACAAGTCAGTCTTTACATGACTCAGAACTGTGCTTACGGACAATCAATTTTGTTGATGAGAAACAGCTAAAATATCAATGTGACCAAGGAAGGATGTGAGGAAAAAAAGGGCGGAGGTAAATATCCTCTTTTCAGAAAATTTCAATCTCACTTCAAAAGACACATGGTCACAAAATAGTGTACCCAGAGTATACTAAGTAAGGTTTTTGTAAGGTTTTCAGAACATCTGATGACTCACAAGAATGAATTATGAAGTGGAGTGGCTGAGAGAACTCTGAGTGACAGTGACATACAATGTAGACATATATTGTAGCAGTCTAATTTTTATGTTTATCCCACTGCAGGGTCCTCAGTGTGTGATGTACTCATATATTATAATTAAAATACTTTCTTCTTGACACAGTCTCACACCGATATTGTGAAGCCATAGTTATTTTAGTGGTATTAGCCAAACTTTATATAAACTACATGGCAAAACTGAAACATAAGTATAACATAGACAAGAAAGCCATATTGTGGTTTAAGGGAAATTAAAGCTATTTCAGTGACTAAACATTTTTCCTTTTAAAAATAACCCTCAAGTGAAAAACATTGGTGAAATGTGTTTTGAACAACAGCTAATAAAATTTGGCTCATGGTCTACGCTGATCTGCTTGTAAGATGTTTAAGTAATATTGTGTTTGTGATAAAATTGTGAATTATGGATGAAGAACTTTATTGCCTATATTAAATTTGGAAGATAAAAGAGAAATGATTACATGAGACCTTTCACTGGGGACCTAGTGGCAGAATGGGTTGAAATAGAGCCTCTGGTTTTGAAAGTTTAAACAAAACCTGTTAATCCTTTATTATTGCTTTCCTGGAAGAGAAGGAATACATTGGCTTTGGGAAGTAAACTTAGATTTCTTGAATAAAAATTAATTTTAGGTTTCACATGTTGGTAATAAATGTTAATTTGACATTAAAAGGCTTCTTTCCTTGAAAAATAATGAACTAGCTAAATATTTTTCATAAAGGCTCCTTGGTGATTCAAAATAGAAAAATGCAGGTGCGAGGCAGCCTGCCTGGGCTGACTCACCCCCCACACCCTCCATATTCATAAATTTAAGGAATTATGACAGGAACTGTATGGGAGTGATAGATGTGACTCTTGGAAAACCCATTAGCAACACAAAGATTTGCAACCTGGCTTAATTACGTTCAGACCAGTAGCAATTTTGGTTACAACTGTTTTCTTACTAAATAAGTCATAGGATTTTTTGCATTTCTGAAGCCTTCTTTGCCTACGTCAACCTGCAAATTCAGAATAGTGTTTATGTGTGTGCTTTGTGCGTAGGGATTAGCCTCCTAGAGTACGTAGTTCCAATAATTATCAGTGACAGAAGGGATGAATAAGGTATGCTGTAAATGCAAGAAAATTAACAGTAAAAAAAAATGGTTCGCCTAAGTCTTTCTTGATGCATGTGCCTATGTTAAATTTAATATTCTGTACAACTGATATCCTGAAAGACTCCCAATGAGTTATTAATCCTGAACTACACCACTGACTGCTTTGGGACAAAGAATAAAATAGAATTTAAATGCCGCAGATGTCACGATGTTTTGAAAAGCTTCTTTAATTTAAGTACAGAGTTATGATGTGAATTGTAAATTCTAGCAGCCGGGATGAATGAAATATCAATGCCATGTTCATTCCTCAAACTAGAATGCAAAGATTAAGCTTCAGGTCTTGTTCACAAAATTAAAGCCCAAACCATCATTCTCTCTCCCTGTTGAGAGCTTAGCATTGAGGCTGCTAAGTGATGGGAGGCTGTTTCTTTAAACAATGAATAGTATGGATAGATTCACTTGGGGACATTTCCATCCTCTGTCATTATTTCCATCTTATTCTTTCTTTTGAAGACTGGCAAGGGCCTGAAGACCACAGCACTTAATCTTAATTCATGAGTCTGTGCTCCGATTTACCACAGTGTATGCCATCAAAAGAAGGTTCCATTTATTTACACTATTTGACAGAAGGGAAAACAATGCTGATTTAAACAATTCCTTTGAATATTGCAATATATTTTTGAGGGCAATTTTATTATGCTTTCATTTTAGTCTGGATGTTAATCATTAAATATGTATAAAACTTGCAAGGAGGTTGAAATGATAGACACAAGCCATTTTTCTCTTTAGTATTACCTTTTCTACTCTTTAGACTATTGGGCGTGAGTTCTGTGCAATGATATTTATATAGGCAGCAAACAGTTGGAGAGGGCGGGAGGAATTTTCTATCCCATAAGCTCTTCCAATAAACTTAGACCAAATAACCACTAAAAGCTCCCAAGCCACATTTACCCCTGAGCATGACCATCACACACATTTATCCTGAGAGGCAACTATATACATGGAGTAAGTTCCCTGGATGCAGCTAAGATTTATCTCAACAGAATCCTAGGTTTAACTCTGTGTTACAGATTCATTTGAAGCATCTCCAGAACTGTGCATACCTGCTAGCTCATGATAAAAATGTCCAGGTAGCAGTGTAAGGGTAAATGACGGGGGAAAGTGGAAATAAGAGGGCTTTCCTCAATACTGCTCATTTGTCTTCTTTAACCATTTGCTCCCTTCACCCGGCCTTGCTTCGTGGTTGTGTGTGTGTGTACGTATGTACGTGTGTACACACATGAATGTGTATCTGAACTAGGATCACAAAATTCTGACAACTCTGCAAACTTGTACAAATGAAGGGAATTGAATTCTGGGATGCCTCCTCTGCTGTGAAGGTACTTCACCAAAAGCATGGTGTTAGTTGTGTGAACTTGTGCTTTGTAGTTTCTCTAAAAACATTAGTTTGTTGCCATTAAGAAGGGCTTTATCTATGAACTCCTGAGAAACGTTTTTGAGAACCTGTTTTGTGAATTCAGACCATAAAATAAAAAAGGATGTGTGTTTGTAAAGGCGTAACTCAGATATAAAATGATACGTTCTTTCTCTTCTGTGATCACTGCTCTCGCTGCTCTTTTTCTCCAGACCACCCTCCTGTTCAAATGTCTTGCTGTCACAGCTCTCTAAACCATCCTTGAAAAGCTGCCGCCTCAACTCTAGGCATGTGCTATTTCGAGGACATTTCGTGCATGGTTTTCTGATGCTCAGACAGAGGAGAAGGGAAATGACAGCCTTACTAATGATACAGGAGTGTGATGATTCTTACACTGCACTCATTTCTGGCAAGAAAGAAAGAAGGAAAAAAAAACCCTAGGAAGGGCCAAATAATTCCCCATATGAAAATGACGGTTACAAACACACTCTTGCCTTGGCAGAGCAGAAAGCCAATGCTGGTTGGAACGTGTCCTGCAAACATGGCATTTCCAAGGCAGCGCATAGCACCGATTAAGTCAGGTTTGTGGCATAGGAGTAGGACAGCAGCCCATGAACTGTTCCCAAAGGAGAAAAGCTTCGAGAAACATCAGTGGTCCTGGTGTGGAAAAGATAGACATGCTCTCCCTCACATTAGAGCCTGTGCTTTTCTATTTACAGGGGCCTGAGAGGGCAGGGTTGCTGCGGTAAGCTCAGAAAGCCCAGGGCAGGGCTGTTTGTTGAATGCATTTACCTTGGCCTTTGTTTTTTGTTTTTAAGTGGCACATATTTGAAAAAAAAAACAAAACCATAGTTAATAGAAAAGATAACCTTAGCAGACTGTTGCAGGTACTGTAGTATACACTCGGTGTTAATGAGAAGAACGATGTGACTTTGCTGGAGGACTGAGTCCTGACGGTTGTTGGGCACTGTTTCATCACTATGTGATTTTCTTCTTGATGGCAGTGAGCTCTTTCTGAAGTTCACTGAACTTGGGGCGGTTTTCAGGCTTGTAATCCCAACACTTCATCATAATTTTAAAGATATCCTCTGGACAGTGCTGAGGGGCTGACATTCGGTATCCTGAAGACCCAAGAGAAGAAGAACAGAGTTTAGAATGCAGATAAGATATAAATGTTCCCGCGGGGCATTATGCAGTTTGTAAATGTAGTACCTTGTTTTGTAGGTGCAATAGAAACAAAAACCCATTTCAAGGCAAACTGGTTTTTTTTTTCTCTCCTACCAGGGAGGCAGAATTTATTATTACAGAGCCATAGTTACCTTCTAGTTCAAAGGACCCATTCTTTGTCAGTCTGTCACAAAGTCCGATGTGAGATCCATCACATACCAATGCATTATTTTACTTGAAGCATTTGCTTTTAGAATCTGCTTTTAGATCTGTGGGAGGAGTTTTAAAAAAATCCCCTCTCCAGGTTTTTGAAGATGAAGAGAGGATGAGGATTTAATAAACACTACTTCAGGAGTGAAATAAAAATGAATATAGAGTCCTAATCTTTTACAGTCCAAGAAGAAGCTTTAATTCAGAGCTGTGTGGCGGCGTCCCAGCAGTGTGCCAGGTGGCGTACCTATGCCCGTGTGTGTCTGTCTCGGGGGATCAGATGCCTGGGAGCAGGAGGCTGGAAAGTCATCCTCCTCCATCCAGTTCTACAGCCATGTCCCCCGAGAGCGGCCTGATGCTAGGCGCTGCCATTTTGTCAAAAGCACTCTTTCTGTTGAAAGCTCTGGACTTCACAAGTGCAGGCTAGGCTGTCACCATCACCTACTCGTTCCAGTCTCTGCTCTGGGAACAGCAGAGGCTTTCTTCAGAAGTTAACAAAATTCTCAAAAACTTCTTCCTGAAGTCTAACTACATTTCAATTTGCAGTAGTACTAATGGTGTTTATTTGGCATAGAGTAAAAAATAGGGGCTTGAGGAAGAGTATCCTAGTTCCTTTGAAGAGAGTGAATGGCACTACCTTGCCGATGCCATGCCAGGGAAGAAGTAGAAGAAAAGCCTAGAGCTCTCTATTTTTAAAGTGTTTCAATTTTTAAGTTTTTTGTTGGTTGCTTTTTGTTTTGTAAGAGCCACATGATCCATGGGGTTCAGAAAGAGGTTTATAAACACCTCTGCTTTTTCTTTACACACCCAAACAGTATGTACCCCACCCCAGGAAAACCACAGACACAGCACAGCACTGGCCCTGGGGACCGGTATGGACAGCACCACCCCATTCTCTCTGACTCACCTCTTTCCACTTGCTCACGTGCCTGCTGATTTGTCATTCCAGGGTACGGGCAGACCCCTAAGCTGAAGGTCTCCCAGAGAAGGATGCCGAAGCTCCACACGTCACTCTCCGAACTGTATCTCCCTAGAGGGCAAACGAAACCACAGCCAGGTGAGGTTTCTGGGTATGAATGTCTGTGTCAGTCACGCGTGAACATATTCAAACTTACCAAAGGAACGCAATAACTAGTGAGCCTATTCTTTTCACTAGTTTGGCTTTCCAGGACTAGTCATATTACCAAATAAATGAACGGTCTTCAGATGCTGGTTTAACCAAACCAGTTGCCAAGTCACTTTTTCCCCACCCAGGACCAATATTCAGCCAGCGTGCCGGCATCCTTTCCCTGTGGTTATCTAAATGAGACGGATGGTTTGTATATAAAAATACGTACATTTGTACACGTCAATGCCTAGGAGGTTAAACAAGTTGGATTTCTGCAATTTTGTCTTCTGCCTGCATCATTTTCATTCCACTAAAATTATAAACAAACTTAAAGCAATAAGGAAAGTTTCTTCATTTTTTTTACTCATCACTGTTTAGCTATTTCTACTTGCTTAAAGGTCTAAGCTTCTCCACTGATAGTTTCATTTACTGAAGATATATATTTTGTGTGTGTTTTGAATAGCTGGCTGATAAATATAGCTTCTTTATTACATGGTGCCTTGTTTTGTCAAAATACCAGAGCACCTGTTTTATTAGGCTACATAAGCTAAGCTCTTAGGATTGTTTGCCTCTAGAAGACTACAAAAAAAAAAGAAGAGGTAAAAGCCAACACAAGATACCTTCTGGGGATGGATGTGAAATCAAGGAGGCAAAGCAGAAAAATTATCTCCAGTCCCCAAGAGGTAAGAATTTCCAAGATTTTTCCAACATATTTTTATTTTACATATAGGGCATAAACTATCATAACTAAATTCCATTTGCAGTGGTGGTAAAGGATTCTTAAATGGCTTCACTGCTATCTCCCTTGTAGATATACCCCTTAACTCTGCCACTCCAGGATTTGTAAATGTCCCACCCCCAATCATCTAGTTACTTTAGGATTGGCCTTTTCACTTTCTTGAAAAGAGTAAATTGAGGATGAGAGTAGCCTGTGCTATGATAACTGCTCTGGCATCAGAGTTTGGAGTGTACTTATTATCATCTCCAGCTGTGTAAATTAGCTTCCTTCTTAATAGGCAGTAATTATGGACATTCACTATGATATGTGGTAGGAAGGTTAGTTTTATTGTCTGCATATCAACCCTTCATGTTTGGCATCCAATAATTTAATACTTTCCATGAAAGCCATCCCATGGCTACAGTTAAGACTAATTATTTAGGAAAGTACAAGGAATACAGAGTTAAATACTTTCTTTTCGTAAGACAATATCTGGGCAGATATCAAGAAAGGCATGTTGTATATAAACCAACACTCCAGAAGTGAAAGCTTATAACGCTATAACCTTGACCTTTGAACCTGTTTTGGTAATTTTTAAAATTAAAAAAATTTTTTTCTTTACATATTTGTGATTGAGGTATAATTGACATAAAACATATTAGTTTCAAAACATAATGAATCAATATTTGTATATATTCCAAAATGATCACCACAATAAGTTTAATTAACATTATACAAATTTTTCTTTTGATCAGAACTTTTAAGATCCACTCTCTTAGGAACTTGCACATATGCAATACAGTATTAAGTATAGTTACCCTGCTGTATATTACATCCCCATGGCTTATTTATCTTGTAACTGGGAGTTTGTACCCTCAACCCGCTTTATCCATTTTGCTCACCCTGAACTCCTGCCTCTGGCAACCACAATCTATGAGCTTGTTTTTTTGTGTACTTTTTAAAGATTCCACATACAAGTGAGATCATATGGTATTTGTTGTTTTCTGTCTGATTTTCATTCTCAAGGTCCATCATGTTGTTGCAAATGGCAAGATTTCATTCTTTTTTATGGCTGAGTAGTGTTCTCTTGTGTCTACACATGTGTACCACCTTTTCCTTATTCATTCATGTATCAATGAACATTTAGGTCGTTTCCATATCTTGGCTATTGCAAATAATGCTACAATGAACATGGGGCGATTATATCTCTTCAAAATAGTGATTTCATTTCCTTCAGATAAATACCCAGAAGTGGAATTGCTGGATTATATGGTAATTCTATTTTTAATTTTTTGATGAACCTTCATACTATTTGACACAGGGGCTGTCGTTTCCCCACATCCTTGTGGAGCACTTGCTATGTCTTCTGGATAGTAGCTATTCTAACAGGTGTGATTTGGTAACTCACTGTGGTTTTGATTTGCATTTTCCTGATGATTAGTGATGTTGAGCATCTTTTCATGTGCCTCTTGGCCACTTGTATGCTTTTTTATTGGATTATTTTTTGCTATTGTATGCGTTCTTTATATAGTTTGGATATTAACCCATTATCAGATATACAACTTGCAAATATTTTCTCCCATTCAGTAGGTTACCATTTCATTTTGTTGATAATTTACTGTGCAAAAGCTTTTTAATTTGAGGTAGTCTGTCTTGCTTATATTTGCTTTTGTTGTCTTTGTTTTTGGTGTCAGATGCAAACATCCTTGTCAACACTCATAGAAATGCAACAAATTTTTGTATATTGATTTTGTATCCTTCAGCTTTGCTGAATTTCTTAATTAGTTCTAACAGTTTCTGATGAGGTCTTTAAGATACACACACATTTGTTGTATATATACATATAGATGTATATCACATCATGTACTGAACCACTGTTACATCCCTATATTAATCTCGATCATGGTGTATAATTCTTTAATGTATTGAATTCAATTTTTTAACCTACCCTGACACCATACTTCGGCAGTATTTCACTGCTCTGAGTTAAGAAATGACCCTTAGAAATGAGGCAAAATCTTACCAATCATAAAATGATATTTGAATAAAACATGAAAGAAGATAATGACTTTCATAAGACACATATTTTCACCTGTTAAAAATGCTAAGATTTAGATACGATCTTCAGTAATTTTATCTCTGAGAGCTAAGGAACTTCTCAGGGTTGCTATAATACATGTAGACCCTCATTAGATTGAGTAATAAATATTCCAACCTCCTTCCTCACACACTGTTAAAATCTCTCCCTCTTTGTCATCTAAGTTCTGCATTTAATAATATTACAGACTGCTAAAAAATGAGCTCACCCTCACTGCCAATCACAGATCTTCATGCCTGTCTTTATTATTCAAAATGCTTTAGGGAAATATAGGTGCAAAATGGTGGTGTAGGTGGCTGCTGAACTCGCTCCCTCCCAAGACCACATCAAATGTACACCTATATTTAGAGCAATTCCTTGTAAGAGACAGTGAGCCAACTGAACAGCTTCTGCACAGCAAGCAAGAGCGAGGGACTGCATAGAGAAGGCCGTGGAACCATGAGAGCTCTCAGGAGCTAAGGCAACAACCCAGAACCAGAGGAACCAGTGAGTGCCGTTGTTTACATTTCCCCTGCCTGTGTATAGTGGGCGGAAGCTCCATCCAGGTGCTCTGGCCAACCTGCAGGGCACTGACGTGTCCCCAACCACCCCTCCTGGAGCTAGATCCAGAAAAAACAGGAGGGTGCTATAGCATGCATACAAGGGGCCTCTCCAGCCAGACACTGACCCAGTGATTAAAGCAGGGTGCTGCTTCACGCACCCACTGAGCTCCACACACAAGGGGCTCCCCCACAAAGAGAGTGCAGAGCAAACAAAATGCTGCAGTACCCAGCTGCAGGGCTGCCCTGCGTGGATGGAGTGGGGTACAGATGCAAGGCTGCCCCTGAAAAGGTGGCAATAGTAGGGCTTTGAGGTGCAGGCAGAGTGACCCAGCCCAGGCCCTGTGACTGCAGGCAATTAAAACAACAGGGCACCCACGCAGGGCTGTTGGTGTGGAGTGAGAGGGGCGTACTGAGTGCACGAGGAGCTGCACAGCTCGGAGAGGGAGCAGAGCTGGTACAGTGTGGCTGTGCACATGCAGGCACCACATGAGCCGACCACCACCACAGCCATCCTGCCCAAACCATCAACACACAGTCTACACAGACACCGCTTTCAAGACTGGGAAGGATAACTATTCTATCCAACTCCTAGGAACAAAGTCACAAACAACACGGTGAACTGTACTAACTGCCACTGAATTGCTCACTTTAAAATGGTTAACTTTGTTATTTGAAAATCACTTCAATTTGAAAAAGCTTTATTTGTCTCTAATTTAGGCATTTATAAATGCCTGATTTTTCATGCTCAAGTAATTTTTCATTTTAAATAAAAAAATCACTTTGTATTTTAATTTAATACATACTACACCTGCTCACCAACCCATGGCTCATATGCTGCTTCCCTTAATGAAAATGTAATTTCTAATTTCACGTAAAGCATTATTTTTTTTTAAGTTCTTGAGCTGTTACCCATCTTGTTACGGCCCATTTCACCCCATCCACAGATAATGCATACCGTATTTATTTCCAATTACAATGACACATAAAAATTTACATGAAAAAAATCCCTGCTGTTTTAAAATGTAACTGCCATCTCTCTCTTCCCACAAGATTTATACAAGTTCCAGAGACTGAGATGCTAAGAAACTACAGAACTGACTGGCTTAATATTTTAGGAACTTAACATTAGATGAGGTTATTGGTCAAATTATAAGACATTCAAAAGAAATGGTCCAGAGCCACAGCAATTCTTTTTTTACTCTGTGTATAATTTGACTCTTTTTATCCAAAAAATGATTTTTATTTTAGTAAGAGAAACTCTCAGATGTATACTCATTTAAAAGTGCTTGTAAGTGTATCCACCTTTCAAATTGAGCACTCTTACATATAGAAATCTTATCAATAAGGTCAATGAATTAAGTCTGTGCTCATGTTTAAGTGCAAAGTATGAACATTTATACATCAATCTAACTTGGCTCTGCTTTACCCCTGTAACTTTGCTTGTGAATGTTTTGTTCTGATGGAGTCCAATTCTTACCACCAAAAAGAAAGAGCCCGATCTTACCATAATTCAGAGCTTCTGGTGCTGTCCATTTAATGGGAATCTGTTTTAAGCCAGAAGATGAATATACTCCACCATCCTCTTGACGCGACATTCCAAAGTCACTGATTTTCAGAACATTATTTTCACCTACCAGGCAGTTTCTTGCAGCAAGATCCCTAAGTTACAACAAGACACAGAAAACACCCATTAAAACCAATTGAAAGCTGCTTTTACATTTATGACTTCGCCACTTTGCATTTTTACATTTGCAATGTATTTATAATGAAGTTAAGAATGCTTGTGATTTACCAGTCTTTCCCATCTTTTCTGTCACAGGTAAAAACCATCCACAAGAATATTTGCATATGGAACAGGCCACATGCTAGTTTTCTAGGTGCCACACATATTTCCATTTAAATAGAAAAACACTGATTCTAGAGTTAAGAGAAAAATCATAGAGGAGAGGCGAGGCAGACCTGGCATTATTTCTCCCGGCTCTCCAATACTGTCCAACAGAAGCTGTGATGACGAAATGTTCTCTGTGCTGTCCAATAGGTAGCCAGTGGCCACATGTGACGACTGAATGGTTGCAGTGGGGCTAGCTAGTATGATTAAGAAACTGAATATTTTATTTACTTTTAGTTAATTAAGTTTACATAGTTGCCTGTCACTACTGAGTAGCCTTGGGCAGTGTAGCCTAGAGCTTCCCAACACTTTTTCCATTGCATCTGGGCCAGGCAAACTCTACATGATGGTCTGGCTTTGTCTCTCTCTCCCACCTAATCTTGTTCCCCTCTCTCCATACTTTGCTATATTCCAGACATACTGGGCTTCCTTTTGTCCCTAAATGCAGGAAAAGCCCCCTAAACGTGATGTGCTTATTTCCACTATAGGGCCTTTGCATTTAGCTATTCCCTTTGTCTGGACTGCTCTCCTAGACATTTGCATAGCGGGCTTCTCTTCATCCATTCTTAGATCAAATGGCCTGTCTTCAGAGAAGACGGCCCTGACCACCCTTATCTGATAAAGAAGACAACAATAAGCAAAACAGACCAAGTCCCTACTCTAATTCTAGTGAGGATAACATTCAATAATCAAGTTCAAATAGACACACACACAGACTATGAGCTACTATGTGGAGAAAGGATTGGTGGAGCCAGAGAGCCAGTTAGGAGACAATTTCAGGAGTCGAGGAGAGGGAACCATCACCTCCACTAAGATAAAAGTGGTGGAGTTGGTCAGAAGCTGTCAGATTCAAAATATATTTTGAAAGTATAATCAATAGGATTTGGGGATAAATTGATGCGGAGTAGGAGAAAAATAGTCAGGATGACCCCAAGATATTTTGGCCTAACCAACTGGAAGAACGGAGCTGACATTTATTGAAATGGGGGAGACAAGGTGGAGGACCAAATTCACAGAGTGTTGCAGAGACAGCCAGTTGCCTCCAAATGTGCATTTCCTCCTCTTTTGTAGTAAAATAATCCAGAATTTAGCTGAATATACTGCCATCCAGTGAAAAACTTCTATACTTCTCAACCTCCTCTGTAACTGCACATGGCCATAATCTAAGTTTTGGCCAATTAGATATAAGCAGAAGAATTGTCTAGAATTTCTAGGAAGTTTCTTTAAAAGAAAGGGGAAGTACCATGACATTTCTCCCTGCTGTTAACACAAAGAGAAAGCATAGTAAAGTTGGAAAAGCACTGATAAGGAGCCAAGGACTGCCATATATGCTTTAGCCTGCCTACCTCTGGATTTTTTTTTTTTAATGTGTAAGAGAAATTTCTATGTCATTCAAGCAATTTTTGTTTCTTAGTTTTTCTTTGCTTGGTGTGTTGTAATATGCAGTCAAAAGAAATCCAATATTGGGGGGGGAAGGGTGTTCAGAGACATTGAGTCATTAGCTATCCGAGAGGCTGAGTAGGCAGTTGGGTATATTAGTCTGGAGGTCAGAAGAGAGGTCTAAGAGTTGTCAGCTTTCAGATGGTATTTGAAGCTAAGGGATTGGAAAATGCTTTCACCTAGAGCAGCGGTTCTCAACCTGTGGGTCGCGACCCCTTTGGGGGTCGAACGACCCTTTCACAGGGGTCGCCTAAAACCATCAGAAAACAAAAAGATATTTACATTACGATTCATAACAGTAGCAAAATTACAGTTATAGAGTAGCAACAAAAATAATTTTATGGTTGGAGGTCACCACAACGAGGAACTATATTAAGGGGTCGCGGCATTAGGAAGGTTGAGAACTGCTGGTCTAAGAGTGAGGGTAGAGGAGAAAAATAGGTGTTCAAGGACTAAGCCCTAGAGTACGCCATCATTTAGAGAAGGATTGAAGGAGACTGAGAAGGAACAGCAAGTGAGGCAGGAGGGAAACCAAGAGAGAGGTCAGTATCCTGGAATCCAAGTGAGGAAAGCTTTTCAAGAGGAATAGCAGTCAAATCTGTCAGCTACTGCTGAGAAGACAAGAAAGATGGGGACTATGAACTGGCCATTGGATTTGGTAACAGAATTTAATGAGACGTTGACAAGAGCAATTTCAGTGGAGTGATGGGCATAGAAGCATGATTGGAGCATGTTCAAAGAGAATGAGAAAAAAGAAGTAGAGATAGTAAGTTTAGATATCTTCAATAAATGTTATAAAGGGGTACAGAGAAATGGAGAGGTAACTAGAAGGGGATTTCAGATCAAAGGAGTTCTTCCCTCTAATATGGGGACTATTACATGTATATATGCAGATGGTAATAATATTGTACAGAGAGGAAAACTAATGTAGGATGAAAAGGTGACAACTGCAGGTGCGAAGCCCTCCAGAATGTAAGAGGTGATAGAGATGGGATCCATCTGTGTTCAGAGCTGCATTCCCAATGCCCAGAATAGTACTTGACACATTGCAGGTGCTCAAATATTTGCTGAGTGAATATATACAAACCATCTCTTCCTAGGAGCGATCCCTGCGAAAGGCAAGTTGTCTATTCTATGCTTCTTCCTTACTGAGGAATAATCAACTAGTTTCTCTGAGATGGTTTTATATATTTATCTTTCGAATGCATCTCTAAATATCAAACATGACTGAATACTTCCAAAAAATTAAAGTCTACTTTATATGACTGGTCTTACAGCATAGGAACTATCTTGAGCAACTGATATATAAGGACGGTTGACTGGTGATGCTGGTATTTCCTAAGGGTATAAGATTAACTTGGAATTGCTGAACATAACTGATGGTCAGAGAAATACACACACATACATACAAATATTCCAGTGTGGAACTTGGGTGGTAGTATCTGAAGATATTCAGAAAGGAATATGAAATTTTCTGCCTTACTAATTTAAGATTGGCTTTATTCATTAGATCAAATTTCACAATGGAGAATCTCAGAAGCAGCCCAATGCTAAATCTGGCTCACTTCCCAGTGTTTACCTGTAGCATGAGCACCTATTGGAAAAGTGAGGGTCTGGTTTTGCTAGATAAAGTGAGTGACAGTGAAGCTGCTTCATTTATCCTCTTATCTTAACTTGTAAGAAGAACTATCATATTGGCTAAGGACTCCAAGTCGTACTTATGGCATAGCTGGCCAGAATAAATCCTAGCTCTGCCACTTATCATTTGTGTGGCCTTGGCATATTAAGCTTCATTTTACTCATCTAAAAATACAGCTTAGCAGGGTTAAATGAGCTTAAGTTTGTAAAGTGCTAACATATGGCTAAAAATGTCTTAAATCAACTATCATCATCAGTATTCTTATTTCTGTTGTTTATGTATTACTACTACAACTACAAGAGGCCCTTAAACAGTAATATCTAAGTCACTTTTCAAAATAAATTTCTAAGTGTGTCATAATCACAAAATGGGCTGGCACCTGGAAACTCATGGCTACTACAAAGAGGTAGGTTTGTAAAGCATGCTTCCTTCCAAAGATGGAGCTGAAATTATTATTTACATGTTGACAATTTCACAAAGTTATAAAGAATGAGCTAAATGTTCATGGTTTCCACATTATTCTCTTAAATTACCAGCAGAATAAAAATCTTAAGGTCTTCATCTCTGTTGAAATGAGTTCATTTGTCTTTGGAGATAATGAATTTCTTTACATGGTAGGTATGTGAAATTTTCAGTAGGTTATTTCCTTTCTATTACTTTGTTGTATTTCATCACTGTCCAAATCAAGATCCAGAATGATATTTGTGATTATTGACTATTTGACCAATAATTAGATTGTATATTATTTTTTGGAGTTAAAGTTAGGGACTCCCCTGCCTTCACTCATTTCCCAGGATGGGAGAAAAAAACACCACTGTTTAATACCTTCCTGAAAAAGTCACTAAACATTAAATCTATTGTCAGTAAACAAATAAAAGTGATCTGTTGTAGGAATAGTTTTTTTTGTTTTTTGTTTTGTTTTTGTTTTTAATAGGACAAGCACTATGATATAATATATTGCTTAAGTTTTGGACCAGACTATCTTCAAAATCTACCTTCTGAGAGTCCCATCTAGATAAATACCAAAAATAACTCCCTGAAGATTCCTCAAAGGAAAGATACAGGTAGATTCTGGAAAACAGTAATAACTTGCAAAGACAATTGCATGGGAATGAGTTTTCTGTTTTGTAGTTTTCCCTCATTTATCTTGCAGCTCTTCCCTGAATGTGGGTTTCAGTTACATAGCAATACAAGGGAGGTGGCATCAGTGTCTGAAATTCCAACAGAAACTACATCTTTCTGCCCTGAGGAATCAGAAAAGGAGGTCTTTGTGAGCCACAGAGTAGAGGGAAGACCCAGAGAAGAGGATTACCTGGGTTCTTGTGTAAACCTCAGCCTAAGCCCTGAGCTCCACTTGTAAGGGGAAGACCCAAACCCACTTATAGAACTGAACTCATATTTAAAGCACTGCCCATATCTCAAAGTAACCCCTAACTGTCACACACAGTCTTTGGGAACGTAACTGTGATTTGAATTTGTCTATCACTGTGAGGTAGAATTGGGTTGATTGATTACCTGATAAAAGCATAATCTCCAGAGGAATTTAACATTTACAACATCAAGGGCACAATTCAAAAATCAAGGGCACAATTCAAAATTGCTAAACATACAAAGAACAATAAAAATGTTCAATTCTAAAGAGAAAATCAATCAACAAATGCCAACACCATGATAACCAGATATAAAGCAGCT